GCATATACATCCATTACTTTATGGCTCTGTAATCTATTTTTCATAAAATTAATGATTATTGTGTTTTTCTGTCTCACGCCTTCCATGAGGTCCTAAACCTCTCTTTGTCCAGCTCACTTCTGTTTGTTTGGAGAGAGCAGTGCACCTTAATTGCCATCATGTGATTGCTCTATGCACACTTCCATTCAGGGGCAGACTGACAACTCATGGGGCCCCGGGCAATAGGGGATCATGGGGCCCCTGTGTCCTTGCCCAAACTCTAAAAAAGCCTATGAAAAAGGTACCAGGGGCATCTCATGGGGCCCCCTACTGACCCCGGGCCCTCGGGCAGTGCCCAAGTTTCCAAATGGTCAGTCCACCCCTGCTTCCAATCCTATAGTCCATAGTACATGCCGGGATTGAGCAAGAGAGGGGGTCTACATTCCTGCATACAGTACATTAGGACCATGGAGAGGGAACATAGCCACCCTCTAATATGAAGTCACAGCAGTAAAATAAAGGAATTTGGAATTATGGAGGAGGCTGAGAGCAATAAAAGGTGCTTTTTGAGTAAAGAACACATACTTGAATAGAAATTTTATTCTTTCAATCCAGAGTGTCACTTTACATATGCCCCAAACAAGCTCGGCTTAAGCCAGCCACTAATTACCACCATCAGTACTAGAACAAAGACCAGACAAGGCTTTCCTAGTGATTACAATAAATGAGGCTGAAAAGGGCATCACCGCCCAAATCCGTGACAGTAAAAGGAGTAAACTAATTATACAGGTATAATAACACAATATAGGGAAGGTGGATGGGGCACTGGTCAGGCAGCTCTTACAAGGCTCACATGTACATGTGCCAGTCTCTTCTGTCAACTCCCAAATCACACCCAAACATTATCAGACCAACCCAAAGGACTATTGAGCATCTGCCAAGTTTATAGAGGCAGTCACAGTGATTTCCATTAAGCATTGCAGACTCCATCAGGCAATTTGACCAAAGGCCACCACCCTATTTATTTATGCTTATACACAAATGGGTATTTATGTCTAGGTTTTCATATGACAAGCTCAAGTATATAAGGCTTTTGAAAAATAAAATCAGCATTTACAGAATGTTAAATTATATTCAATAATATGCTCAAAAACCGAAAGTTTGTAGTTTAAGTGATTGCCTTTACCAGTTACAATACTAAAAAATACGCGCTGATCTGCCAGAAATGCACTCAGCTTCTTTTTCCTGTTGTGGGCTGACAGCACACAGCATTTTTGTGTGTGGGTAGGTTTATGGAAGCCGTATAGTTTTACCTACACACCAATAATTAATACCTATGTATATGATATTTTTCAGCATTTACCTTGGAATCATCCCTGATATATTTGGCTAAAGCGCCCACCCCAGGAAAGACTGATTTGCCAAAATCTAGTTTCTATCCCCTTATTGTCTGTTTTTATTGGGTAAGCTTCTCAGGGTTCCCCTATGGCCATTTTGTATCTATATTACAGTATATTTGGATGTGTTATACATACAGTATGTATATTCTGTTTGTACTACATGTATCTTTGTTTACTTCTTTTTTTAGATGATTTGCCCCATTCTGCATCTGACGCAGCGGCTATTGCCACGAAACATATTGAGGATGAATTGTAACCTATGGCCATGCCCTTTATGACTGTTGTAATATCTGCATGTATATGGGTACTACCTCGGGATGATAGAGGAGCATTCCTTTTAAATATTTGTGTCATTTACTTGGAAACAAAACTTTTTAATGAATATTTTGTACACAATAAAACCTTGATACTGTATATAAATATTGTTTGGTGAATTCATGGGCACCGGGAAAGTCCAATAACTTTTCCTTTGTTTTCCTAATCAATAATAATGGGATGTGGTACCTCTATTATTCTTACTATATTGGTACTACTTGTGATATTTTCTGTTGTGGGCTGACAACACACAGTGTTTTTGTGGAATGGTGTAAGCCCTGCCCATGTGTCTTTAGCTAAACTACTGAATCCCTCACCCTTTCCTTATGTCCACAGCATAGGGACTAATTGTCTTGTAGTCCAAAATAAGATGGGGTAAATAGACTCCTTCAGATAACAAAGGAAATGTGCAAAAGACTGCTAAGAGGTCCAGATGCAACTTTATCGCTAAAATAATCAGAGGGACAATCCAAAAGAGTATCCAACACATTTCAGGGGTTCAAAAACACCCTCTTCACCAGGGCTTGAATGAAAACAATGTGAATAGACTAGCAGTGAACTAGACTTTTGATGGGTTTTTTTAGTGTGACTACAAGCAGAGGCCTTGTCAGCAGTTGGTTTGGGAGCCTGGAAGGTTAAAGGTTCAGTTCACTTCCCATCTGTTCACATTGTCTTCAAGCAAGCCTTTCAATGAAGGGGAAGTTTTTGAAATGCATTGGATATTTTTTGGATTGTTCCACTATCTTTCATTGAAATAAAGTTGTATCTGGTCCTCCTAGCAGTAGTGTGGCACTTCAATTTCTATTTTTGTGTAGCACTCTCCTAGTCAGCTAGGGGGAGCTAGACTCCATTTGTTAGCAAGGAAGGCTTAGTAGCAGCCTGGGTGTGATAGCTCGCAGGGGTCAAACTGTGGTCAGGGCTGAGAGGCTCTGTAGACCAGCCCTCAGGAATTTAACCCTGCTCTAGAACTTTGGAGAAAGGTCTAAAAGTAGTGGGTGGATATGAGGAAACAAAAAAAGAAAAATGCATGTAGCGCTTGTTCACAGATGAGGTGCTGTTAATGAATTCAGTGAAACAAATCACTGCTAGTGTTTGAGTACCAGCGTGGTCTACTCATTGACTGAACCTTGTAACAACTTAAAAGCAAACACACATGATACCATATAACAAATTATTTATACTGTGACATGTGAGAATAAACCTGGAGGTAAGGCTGTATAACTAGACATATATATATAGACACTAAGACCCAGGTCGCACTGGGTGCAAATTGGCATGCAATTTGCATGCCGTGCGACTTGCAAATCACATGCCAAGTCGCACCCTATTGTCCGCAATTACAGCGGTCATATCGGTGTGGTACTGATTTCTAAAGTAGTGCATGCACTACTTTTGATGCAATTTGCATAGACATCTTTGTCATATGTCTTGCAAATTGCACCTCAGAATGCAATGACATCCCGACTTTGAAATCATAGGACTTACAGTGAAGTCACACAATTTAAAAGTCAGGATGTGACCGAGTTGTAATGGGACCAGGCTGCTGTCTCCAATCTGGCTTGGGAAGATCCATATCTGAAATGAATGAATAGGGAAGGGGAGAGAGGCGCTCAAGGAACCATGATAGTGTAGTACATCAATTTATTAAAAATATCATTAAAATTCTGTAATATTGCACTCACAAGGGTGAAGTGTTTGCAGGCATGTCATTATGGCAGAAGTCCTTAACAGCAGGCAGATGGACGGCTTGATCCACTGGGAACTGGATGGAGAGGCAGCCACTGGGGGTGCAAAGAGGATAGGTATCTTAGAGAGCTTGATGCAAAGCTAGGAGTGTAGCAAAAAGTGCAAGAGCTTCAGCCGCTGTGTACACTAGTGAATTGATGGATTGGTGGATTGCTGGAACCGAAAAGACTGTTATGCAGGAAAGGATGAGCAGCCTGGTAACACCACTGAGGGAGTGAGTGTGTGTGACTCTTGGGAACGTGTTTTAGGAAGAACAACAAACTTTCTTCATTAGCGGATCTGAGGAGTGGCTGATCTGCACTTTTGAGGGATCCTGGCCAATCCCCAACAAGATGCTTGGCAAAGGGCCAGGACAACCATTAAAAGTGAGAGAGCCTGCTCAGCAGCAGGAGAGTTGGGGTGGAAGATAGAGAGGATGTGATGCTGAAGAGAGGAGCCTGTGAAGGGGCCCAAATGGAGAGGGGCTCACCTACAGGCTGTGGAGCTTGGAAGGTAGAAAGCTCAGGACCTTCACCGGCCCCCAGAGCGTGGACCATCTGTGTAGCAGGGAAGGAGAGGCCCAGCTACAAGGCCTGGTAGCAGCCACCAACCCACCAGCAACACACTGAGTGAGTAGACCTGCACCCCCTGGGCCAGAAAGGGGAAGGAGACACTCTTATGGTGAGCTGGATTAGCCTGCCACCCAGGACTGTTTCATCAAATTTGTGAAAGACACCAGATGCCCTGCTCAGGGATTCCTCCAGACAGCTGGGTAGAGAAGAGGATTTTTCTGGGGTCTGGGGTGGTACTACAGGAGAGGCTGGCTAGGTCTCCAAAAGAGACTGTTTTTCTGTAATGCATCCTGGGCATACATACATCCCCTTACCTCATCCAAGTTGAAATCCCCCTAATAAAACACAAAAAAAACAGCTTAAGGACTAGTTACTGATTCCTGCATGCAAGTATAGTGTGAAAATGAATGTTGCCTGGCTGTGCAGGACTATAGGGGGACCCAAACTTGAAATACTCCTAAGGGGTAAGTGCTACATTTGTTACATCACTACAAGCCAAGGGGACTGTGGAGACCTTCTGAGGTATAGGAACTAGATTATTTACATCAACATTTAAAGTAGCAATACCAATATGATGACCTAATGGGGTAGATTTACTAAAACTGGTGCAATCAAAATCTGGTGCAGCCGTAAATGGTAGCCAATCAGCTTCTAACTTCAGCTTGTTCAATCAACCCCTTCCCACCGATGTAACACAAATATGTGGCCTCACAGAACTGGGCTTTTTTCCGTGGGGCCGCATATGAGGCCTGCGTACCTGTCTTTGTGCTGGGAGCGCGCCGCACAGCACACTCCCAGCACAAAGACCGAGATGTCACTGAAAGCCCCGGGTCCCATTCTAACGATCGGCACCCGGGACTCCCGCTTCCCGGTCACATGATCGCTGTGATAGCCTCTGATTGGCTATCACAGTAATCAGTCACTGTGAAGCCTGCCACCCTTGTTTTTTTTTTCTCTCTGAATGGAGAATAGAGATACATTGTATCAATCTCCACGCAGAGAGAAAAAAAACTGTTTGTAAATAAAATAAAATAAATAAATATTTAAAAAATAAAATAAAAAAATTAAGAAAAAATACCTAGATCAAGGTTTGATCTAGTTCAGTGCCAGGGTTAGTGTTTATGTCAAGGTCAGGGTCAAAGGTCAGGTTTTTTTTTTTTTTTTTTTTTTTTAATTGGTATCAGTGTCAGTTAGTGTCATTGTGTTTGAGGTAAAAAAAAAACCCCCAAAAAACAAAATGCGCACTATTGTTTCTGGGCTGTACTGTGGGTAAAAAATAACATACACATATGTGGTATTGCTGCAATTGTCAAGAGCTGGAAATTTTATTTTGGGCTGTTCTTTGGTGGTAGGTTATGGTAGTAAAAAGAAACACACAGCTAAATTTAAAAAAAATATTTTTTTTTAGTATTTTGGGCCAGTTTTCCTTTGATAATGAAAAAAAAATCAGGAGATATCCATTACCATTTACCACCAAATGAAAGCCGGTATAATCCACCTAGATGTACAAAGTAGTTGCGATGATATTTATGGTTTTACTAACACATATCAACGTTGTAAAATTTTACTTAGGCTTTAAGATTTGTTTTACCCTTAGGTGTGAAAGGGTTGAGCTCTGACAGTAAAACCTGGAAGATTGTTTTCTATGCAGAGCTGCACTCATTTTTGCACTCACCAGTTTTAGTAAATAACCCCCTATGGGTCCAACACTATTTTTCCACTTTCCTCAGCTTTGAGTTTCTAACATAATCTACATTTTGTTAGTTACGAAGCAGATATAGCAAAATGCTATCAATGATATATTTAAAGTGAACCTGTGCCCACATCACACATATTCCATTCACAAGCAGTAAAAGCACTTTAAAATAAGTTCTCATTAATTTCTGTATCTGTAAGCATTGGAATGTTATTAAAGCTGAACTCCAGAGAAAAGTAAAAGTCCTTCCTTGTAGAGCTGCGCCCCGCAATGCAGGGGTTGCCTGCTTATTCATGTCTAGAGGACCAGGTGAAGCAGTTTTACCTACCTGAACTTCTGCCCCTGCAGGTTCCTCTGCAAGGCTTTTACTTTTAATGGAGTTGGGCTTCAAAGCTCACAACACGGGCAATCATGGTATATATTTCTCCGCATTCCCGCCGACAGCTTCAAGCATACAATAGGATGCTTCAGGATGGAGAGTGGAGGAAGGGTCCAGTAAATATGTCACATTTAACAGCCCTTCCTTTCTTGAATGAACACAATGAATGATTGGTACCAATCAATCACTGTGTTCATTCATAATTGAAGCTTAGTAAACTGTGGGGGTTTTTTTTGAGAATGGGGAGGGCTTGTCCGGTTGGCTGTATGGGGCCCTGTCAGGTTGGCTGTATGGGGCCCCAGGGTTTCTAACAGCAGCTCTGAATGTATGCACAAAACAAAAGATCATATACAAGGAATGTGCAGAATAGATAAAGGAAACCTGTGCTGAGATAAGGTATGCTGTCATCTCTAACTTATAGTGTTCCTAAACCCACAACAGTAAAATCAGTCTGTATATGCAGTAAAGCATGCTTGTTATACTCACTGTGGAACCTAAGGAGTTAACCCTCTGCATTGTGTAAAAAGGCTGTTTGATCCTCTTATCTCCTGTTAAGACATATGGTGTGGAGTCACTCTGCACATGCTCAGTTTGGTGTGTATTTTTAGCTAGTTTTTTTTTTCTTGGGAGAGTGCATGTGATCAGCACAGGGCCAATCAGCACTGTGCAGACCGAGGTCAGGGGTTCTGCATCCTCCTAGAGCAGAATGAAAACTCCTCCCACAAGCTTTAACCAGTGCTCGGCTCGACACTGATAGAAGTCACAAGACTGCTCTAACTGCTAATGAGAAAAGGTATTTAGCAGTTTATATTTACTAAAATAATTGCATTTCCATGTTCTGTGTACTGTGGGAGACCAGGTATCATGAATGCAGGGTCCTGGGTTTAGTAACACTTTAATTCTCAGAATACTGATTACCTGGTTGTTTTGCTGATTCTCTAGCTCTAACACTTTGAGTTACTTACCTGAAACATTTTTTTCTGCATCTAATTTATAATAAATGAAGCCAACAAGACAGCCAGACAATTAGCATTTTCTGTAATGCTTTCCTTTAAAGTCATTGCAAATGTAGATGTTTTTACTTTTTAAAAATAACAAACATGTCATACTTACCTGCTCTTGAGTCCTCACTCCTGAGCCAACTCTGTGTGTCTATAAGACACAAAGTGCGCTCCTCGGCTCCGCTCCTCCTCACTGGTTTGATTGACAGCAGCCAGTAGCTCCTGCTGCTGTGTCTGAGCCAATATGGAGGGAGAGAGCAGAGAGAGTGTCTGCTCTCATGCACATAGCTGGAATGAGATGGTTCAGGTAAGTATAAGGGGGTGCTGGGGAGGGGAGCTGCATGCAAAAGGTTTTTACTTTCATGCATAGAATGCATGAAGGAAAAAAGTCTTCTGCTTTTACATCCACTTGAAGTACAGGGAACTTTTCATATCTTGTGTATTTCTGTTTGGCAGTGAAAAGGACTGTTTCATCCCACATTTCTGTAGGCAACAGCTCTCCTTGGCTGGTGTCCCTAACTTGTTGGCAGGAATGTCAGTTGCAGCTTCTGCACCATATGTATGTCTAGACAGTAGGTTATAAGGAACCCACCACTACACATCACCTAGAGGAGGCATGGGCTCACAGGAATGGATGAAACGTGATCTTATCACAATGCAAGTAAAAGCTTAGGTACAAGAAGCTATAAAAGACAAAAACAATTCATGCAGCTCTGTATATACACTATATTTCCAAAAGTATTGGAACACCTGCCTTTACACGCACATGAACATTATTGACATTCCAATATTGAGTTGGCCCACCCTTTGCAGCTATAACAGTGTCAACTCTTCTGGGAAGGCTGTCCACAATGTTTAGGAGTGTGTCTATGGGAATGTTTGACCATTCTTCCAGAATTGCACTTGTGAGGGCAGGCACTGATGTTGGGCGAGAAGGACTGGCTCGCAGTCTCCGCTCTAATTCATCCTAAAGGTGTTCTATTGGGTTGAGATTCTGGACTCTGTGCAGGCCAATCAAGTTCCTACACCCCAAACTCACTCATCCATGTCTTTATGGACCTTGCTTTGTACACTGGTGCGCAGTCATGTTGGAACAGGAAGGATCCATCCCCAAACTGTTCCCACAAAGTTGGGAGCATGAAATTGTCCAAAATGTTTTGGTATGCTGACACCTTAAGAGTTCCCTTCACTGGAACTAAGGGGCCAAGTCCAACCCCTGAAAAACAACCCCACACCATAATCTCCCCTCCACCAAACCTTACACTTGGCACAGTGCAGTCAGACAAGTACTTTTCTCATCATTCCAGATTCCTCACTCCAGAGAACATGTCTCCACTGCTCTAGAGTTCAGTGGCGGCGTGCTTTACACCATTGCATCCAACTTGGTGATGGGTGATGTAAGGCTTGGATGCACACTGCTCGGCCATGGAAACCCATTCCATGAAGCTCTCTAGGCATTGTTGTTGTGCTAATCTAAAGGCCACATGAAGTTTGGAGGTCTTTAGCTGTTTAGTTGGTGACTTCTGGGCACTGTGTGCTTTAGCATGCACTGACCCCACTCTGTCATTTTACGTGGCCTACCACTTTGTTGCTGCTGTTCCCAATAGCTTCCACTTTGTTATAATACCACTAATAGTTGACCATGGAATATTTAGTAGCTCCTGAGAGCAACCCATTCTTTCACAGATGTTTGTAGACTGTATGCCTAGGTGGTTGATTTCATACACCTGTGGCCATGAAGGTGATTGGAACACCTGAATCTAATAATTTGGATGGGTGTCCCAATACTTTCGGCAATATAGTGTATCAATTAAAGTGATTGTAAATACTCAGATTTTTTAAAATTAAAATACCAAACATGTCATACTTACATGCTCTTTGCAATGGCACAGAGCAGCTATGATGCTTTTTTTCTGATGATTCCCTGCTATCGCTCCTGGCTGCTCCTCTTTTCAGTGTGCCGCTTGCTATAGGGGCACTTGTGCATGCTTGCTTCAAAGCACCGCTTTGTGTGTCCATTGACACACAGACTGGGGCTCAGCCCTGTTTCCAGCCACCTCCGCACTGGCTGTGATTGAAAGCAGCAGCCAATAGCTCCTGCTGCTGTCTCTGAGCCAATTAAGAGGGAGAGAGCCGAGAGAGCTGCTGCTCTCATGCACATTGCTGGATCGATATCGGGCTTAGGTAAGTATAAGGAGGTTGGGGAGGCTGCATGCAGAAGGTTTTTTTTACCTTAATGCTAAGTTAAACAAAATCTGCATTTAGAACCACTTTTAAATGTGTTGTAAATGCAGCTAGTGCGAGTCCCTGTATTTTATCAGATTTCTATCTCTTGTAATGTCCTGCACAATTGCACAGACTAGGAAAGGGAAGATCAGCACTGGGAGCCACTCAGATATGTGGCATGCAAATGTGTTGACAAGAAGTATGCTGATAAGAGGAGATGGCAGAGTGAGTAGAGGGATTATCTCATCAGTGTACTGCTGCTCTTTCACTGTTCATTCAGCAGACTGTCAGTAGGGGAGATGACACTACTCCTTAGTTGTAACAGGATTGACAGGATTAGAGATAATTTTACAGCTCCATTATATACACTTCATCTGTATATTTTAAATATTGTAAATTAATAATTAATTAGGTCCTCCAATAAAGATTATAACTTAAACTCCAAACTTTCTGCATTAATCATTGGCTAACATAGTACAATACTCTACTACATCTGTGTAGTTATTGTGTAAATGCACCTTGAATGCAATAATGCAATATATAATGTACTGTCCCCTGACCCCCAACCCCCCTGCCAGTCTTATACTCACCTGTCACTGATTCAGTGAGCTATCACCCACAATATTGCATAACCACTTGTCAAAAATCTTCTAAACTGGGTCTGTGTATGCCCAGTACACTCTCTATTCAATCTTATGCTGGAGCATAGAGCATGAACTCTCCATAGGATTACATGGGAAGTGTACTGCACATGTGCAGGTCTAGCTCACAAGATTGTGACAAGCAGCTCGACAGCTTTGTGGACAGTAGGGAAGGTTTACTAAAACTGGAGCCCTCAGAATCTGGTGCAGCTGTGCATGGTAGCCAATCAGCATCTAACGTCAGCTTTTTCAATTAAAGTGTTTCTAAACCCAGGACCCTGCATTCACTACACCTGGTCTCCCACAGTACACACAACATGGAAGTGCAGATATTTAAGTAAATATAAACTGCTAAATACCTTTTCTCATCAGCAGTTAGAGCAGTCTGGTGACTTCGATCAGTGTCCAGCAGAGCACATGTTAAAGTTTGTGGGTGGAGTTTTCATTCTGCTCTAGGAGGATGCAGAACCCCTGACCTCTGTCTGGACAGTGCTGATTGGCCCTGTGCTGATCATGTCCAAGATGTTTAGTATACTTCTTGCCACTTTCCAAAATGGCAGCTACTCCATCCCTTATGAATAAGTCCGATGACGAAACGCGTCAAGGGAAGTGATGTCAGACGCACACGGGAACCGGAAGTGGAGTAGTGGCCATTGTGGAAAGTGGCAAGAAGTATATTAACATCTTGGAAGGTCTCTGGACAGTAGAGAGGTTTGAGATACCTAATTTGAAGGCGTTTGTAAAGGCTGTGATAATGTGAGCACATTAATAAAGTTATTTATACGGTGTTTTTGGCGATATTACACTATTGGCATCTTGGTGGAGCATGGTGGTAGCCTTGATGATCTCTCCAGGAGGGCTGTCTTACTATCGTGGTGTATCTGGATGGCATTGAAGCAAGATTGATATTGAGTATTGGTAAGGGTATTCACTCCTTACTTAAATTAGAAGTGCACACTGTTTTTGCTGGGTTTTTTTGGCATTTATGAGTGACTCACAAACACGTTTTTCACATAAAAGGGGTCACGTGTGTTACACAGCTGAGTGAATTCACACATTGTTTATAAGAATGTTGTATTAAAGGATAATGCACTATGTATAATATCTTTCTTTTCTGAGGTGCTATGTACAGCTGCCCATAGAAATCAATGGCTGTAGACATCAGTGTTTTACATAATTATGCGCATGAGTACAGACTTTCGCCACTGGATGCAGACAGCCGGTGTTTTCTATGGGCATCTCTATGCAGCACCTGTGGCTCCCGGGTGGAGAAATATACCCTGATTGCCCGTGTTGTGAGCTTTGAAGCCCAACTCCATTAAAAGTAAAAGCCTTGCAGAGGAGCCTGCAGGGGCAGAAGATCAGGTAGGTAAAACTGCTTCACCTGGTCCTCTACACATGAATAAGCAGGTAACTCCTGCAGTGCGGGTGCAGCTCTACAAGGAAGGACTTTTACTTTTCTCTGTAGTTCAGCTTTAATAACATTCTAATGCTTACAGATACAGCAATTAATGAGAACTTATTTTAAAGTGCTTTTACTGCTTGTGAATGGAATATGTGTGATGTGGGCACAGGTCAGAACCCCTGACTTCTGTCTGGACAGTGCTGATTGGCACTGTGCTGGTCACAGGCACTCTCCCAAGAAAACAAAAAACCTCTCTAGCAATACACACCAAACTGAGCATGTGCAGAGTGACTCCACACCATATGTCTTTTCAGGAGATAAGAGGGGGACACTGGATGAAGGGGAGGATCAGAGAAGTCAGAATCAAACAGCCTTTTTACACAATGCAGAGGATTAACCCCTTAGGTTCCACAGTAAGTATATCAAGCATGCTTCAATGTATACACAGACTGATTATACTGTTGTGGGTTTAATAACACTTTAAGCTTTGACAACAACAAAAAAAACCCTGGAGGCTGATTGGTTTCTATGCAGAACTGCACCAGATTTTGCACTTTCCACTTAAATGAGCCACTAAGTGTCTTGCTGTATTGAAATCAGGTGACTAGGAGACTTACGGGGGCTGAGGGCAGGGAACATTACATCATATGTGCATCTGCGCCAAAGCTACAGTGGCACTTTAACACTTTGCCTAAATTTTAGCTTTAAAATAGGATTCCAACTGAAATTCTAGCTTCTAGTTTAACCCTTTTGCGCCGACGCCTCCCTGCCCTTTAAGAGTTTCAGAAGCCGGGAGGTGTCACGGCGGTCACATGATCGGAAAAGTTCCCGATCGCAAGGGGAGATCAGGACCTTTCCGTGAGCTCGCTCTCTCAGCACATATGTATTTTCAAATGGTACGTAAATATGCGGCTGCTTGGCGTCAAGGCCCAGATGCCGAGAGGCCACTTATTTGTGTGCGCTCGGCCTCTAGGGGTTAAGATACAGAGAAGAAGTGGTAGAACCTCCATAGGCATTTATTGTATTCTGGGTCTTTGTTTGGGATATTTTATTAAATGCTGCTCTCTAAAAATAAAGTTTTCTTTCAAACCCTCTTAGATTGTTAGCTCCCAGGATCAGGCCCTCCTAACCCTCTTGTATTGAACTGTATTGTTGCTGTATTGTCTCCCGTTATATTGTAAAGTGCTGAGCAAACTGTTGGCGCTATATAAATCCTGTATAATAATAATAATGTTAATAATAACTGGATTAACAATATTATTCCAGCTGATGTATTATTCCAGCTGATGGAGTGCAACTTTTTACATACGAATAGTTACATTGATTTTCCTACTGCTAAACAATGCAGTAAGGTCTTTGAGAGTAATATATGTGCTGTTTGGGTGACAGACCTATTACACTTCAAGGGTTACATGAGCAGATTTGCCGACAGTGCCGTAAATCTCATCCTAGATGTGGTAATTATGGAGGATGTTTCATTTTTTTCTCTGCTAATGAATTACATGACACTGTTTTGCTTTTAGAGGAAGTATCCCAACCTGAGATACCCTCTGATGTCCTTGATTCTTCCTATCTCATTCATCCAGCCTGTTGTGCCAGGGTTGCATAGGAAATCAACCACACATTTGCAGAGCTGGCGTCAGAGCTAAGAGGTAGTTCTTCGAGCCAACAAAACTCTTCATAGCAACAGCAAACAGTGTGCTGCAAACACTCCACCCACGCACTTGACTGTCAGCGCTTTTCTAATCTATGTGGCTGAAGCTTTTAAGATCACCGTCGAGTGTCAGAGACATAACAAGCCGAGAGATGTGCTGAAGGCCTGAAGAAAAGCAGAAAAGATGAGAGATGGCAACCGAAAAAGAAAAAGAGAGAATAAAAGGGAAACAGTGGCACTGGTTTATAAATGCTGGGGTAAAATGGAGCTGTTGCCTTCAACAATTTACAGTTCCCTTTATTTCTAAATTAGCCACGGTCTGAGTGGAAAAGACTGTCCCCTGCCAGCAGCTACAGAGAAGAACCTTTGCTGTTTGTGGGATCTACCTGCATAAGACCAACACACCCCATACTGAGTCATACCCAGGAGCGGACTGACCATTTGGAAATTCGGGCACTGCCGGAGGGCCTGGGGTCAGTAGGGGGCCCCATGAGATGCCCCTGGTACCTTTTTCATAGGCTTTTTTGAGTTTGGGCAAGGACACAGGGGCCCCATGATCCCCTATTGCCCGGGGGCCCCATGAGTTGTCAGTCCGTCCCTGCTCATACCTACAGTATAGTACTGCAACCAGCAAAACTCATGCTCTCCACTGATTGGAAAGCTCTGGCTCTGACTTGGAAGAGTTAGACCTCTTCAAAGAGAGCTCTGCTTCCCCACAGAGAGCAAATTATTCTGCAGGGGACTGGCTTTTATACTCAACCCTAGGATCCTTTTTTTTTAGAGAAAACCAAAGACTTTGCATGTCTTTTGTTTTGATGCATCTGCAATGTTTTGGGCTTTAAAGAGATAGCATATATAAATTATAATTTAAATTATGTAAAGGAGATAATCCTGAAATGGCCAGTAACATATACAAATGAATAAAATTAAAGGACAGATGAACCGCGCATTGTCATAAACATGCATTATTAAGACATATCATAAACCTGTCCAATAATTAGGCCCCATATACACAAGATACTTCTGAACGATGGAAACTGACTGCTGGAAAACATAAGTCAAAAACGGTCAGTTTAGCCACGTTTGCATACCACGTTTATGTGCGTTTGCGTTTAGAAGCATTTTTTAAAGATAACCTCAGAAGACCTTCCAAAATGCCCAGAATGCACTGAAAAGCAGTAAAAAATTAACTATTTCAGACATTTTGAGAGAAATAGAGAAAGCAGAAGCAAAGAGAGCAGTATTTGTTGTCTTTTTTTTTTGTGGTTGGATGTGTTCCAGCTCATTTCTGTGCAGAAATTATTGCAGCAGTGTCTAACATATTTTCTTTCATGCGATTCTTCAAAGTATGGTGTGCTAGGTCCATTTGAGTATCGGGAAAACACTTTGCATGCATTTTTAATGATGAAAAAAGGCTCTGGACAGCATCTGGAAATGTAGAGTTAAACATTTTTTTCAATTGCAAATGCCTATAAACACGTTTAGCCGCATTTACATGCGTTTTACAAGCATTTTGCGTTTGAAACGCTGCTAATGTACTGCTGAACGCAAGTTTTCTGTGTTCAAAAAAATGACTGTGCACTCAACTGCCAGTAAACGACTGTAAACGAAGATGTGTACATGGACACATAGGAAAACATTAGGGAGAGTTTCAGGGGCTGAGAAAAACGCAGAAAAGCTCCCAAACGTGAGTTTATCGGCTGCAGTGAAAAGAAAGTGCTCGTGCTTGTGTTCAACTTGTATTCAATATCCTGATTGGTGCTCCACTGGCCTCAACAAAAGTGCCCCACATGGACTAACACTCACCCTCATTCCATGACCATCTATCTCTAGAGTGGTCATTAATGCCCAGAAAGCCAATGGTCCCCGGATCCATTAGCCTGTGATCATCTATCCTTAAGGCGGTCCATGACATATAAGGAACAATTTCCTAAAACACCCGCTGCCTCCACAGCTCCACAAGCAGCAAAGAAATGTATCACCATGTATGAAGAAAAAGAAAGGGACATCCCATAGTGTAAAATTGCCTGGTACCTTTATTGGGGGTAATTATATGAATATACACTCACAACAAAAGTGCCTATAGCCCACCACCTGGTGTACTCAGCCTGGTTCTAAATCAAAGATGGAAGCCGCTAACCTCGTAGCTCTCTCAGACAGGACGTGTCTGTTCCCCAGGAATGTGAGAATATATACAAACGGGTTGTTCAGCAAAGTTCAATATTTTTATAGTAGACTACAGTCTAACATAGAAGCACTTCCCTTACAGTTACAATACAGGAAAAAAAATCAGGAAATGAGAGGTAGCCCAATTCACACCTTTAACATGAAAACATTTTGAATCATGTGTGCTGCAAGCTGCCATGTTCACTATATCTTACCATTCCTCAACCATCCAAGTGTTGTACAGTGCATTACATACTCCACACCACTTGACAATGTATATTGTGCTGTACATCAACTTCTTGCCGACCACACTATAGCCAAAAGATGGCTACAGCTTCCAGTTCTGAGAGGACGTCCATGGATGTCCTCCCATTTGTGTGCCTCCCACACACTCCCTGGGGCGTGCATTGAGCACGCTTTGTGACCACTGTGTCCTTTGGAAACTAGAAAAGGGGAGGGGCAGCACTGGGAGCCAATCAGATATGCGGCATGCAATGTGTTGACAAGAAGTATGCTGATAGGAGGAGATGGCAGAGTGAGCAGAGGGATTACATCATCAGTGTGCTGCTGCTCTTTCACTGTCCATTCAGCAGACTGTCAGCAGGGGAGATGACACTACTCCTTACTTGTAACAGGTTTGACAGAATTACAGATCTTTTGATTGCTCCATTATATGCATTTCATCTGTATTTTTAAATTAATGTAAATCAATAATTAATTAGGTTATAACTTAAACTCCAAACTTTCTGCATTAATTCTTTGGACACAGCTGATCAAGGATCGTGGTAAAGGGTAAATCACAGTAGCCCTTTACCATGTGATCAGTGGTGCCCAATGACAACTGGTCTCATGTAAACAGACTTGCCGGCTATTAGCATTTCCTTTCCTCGCACAGTGTTGGAGGAAAGGAGAACCGTTAACCAACCAGTCTGTCAGTACATTGTTTACACTGATTACCAGGGCCCAATTATCATAGCCCATCAGCCCTGCCTATCAGTGCCCATCAGTGCTGCCTTATCAATGCAGACTCATCAGTACCTTCTCATCAGTGGCCATCAGTGTAGCTTATCAGTGCCCATCAGTGCTGCATTAGTGTCAATCAGTTCACATCAAGGCAGCCTCTTCAGTGCGCATCATTTCAGCTTCATCCATGCCCATCAGTGCAGGCTCATCAGTGCACATCAGCAAAGAAGAAAAATTACTTATTTGCAAAATTTTATAACAGAAAACAAAAAACAGGAAAGAAAAACATTTTGCTTTTCAAATTTTTTTTTCTCATTTGTTTTGCAAAAAATAAAAATTCCAGTGTTTATTAAATACCACCAAAAGAAAGCTCTATTTTTGTGCAAAAAATGGTAAAAATTTCATATGGGTACAGTGTTGCATGACCGTGCAATCGTGAGTCAAAGCGCAACAGATGAAAGGTGAAAATTGGCCTGAGCAGGAAGGGGGTATACTGTAAGTGCATAGGCATAACTACTTAAAGCAGAACTTCACCCAAAAAAGGAAGTTCTGTTTCTTTGCATCCATCTCCCTCCTGTTTAATTACTGGCACTTTTTTTGGGGGGTTGGCGATCTGAGCAGAAGTTTGCCCCCCCTTTTCCCTGCAGCCTTCTGGGACACATCACAGGTCCCAAAAGACTGTGGGACCATTCACAAAGTACAGCAGGATCCAGCTGTGTAACCATGAGGCTTCACTGATGGTTTCCTTACTTATGATGTCAGAGAGACCTGGAGATGACTGAAAAATAGGCTCGGGTTAGGACAACGCTGGATCCCTGGACACAAAAATGTGATATACAAAAGTTTCAAGACTAGTTTTGTAACACGCCAACAGATGGCAGCACAAGGCACAGTCACAGAAAGCACTGACCTTCAAAAGTCAGTGAGGTAAAAGATATCATCCTGTGTAGGTCAAGAGCTGTGCAACTGCTGCTATTCTGACCACGTGCATTACCACATCTGCTATTTTATCATGGACAGCAAGTTAGAACAAAGAGCAAACCTAAAATTCTGAATGAAACTGAGCAAATCTGTCACAGAAACGTTTGACATGATGTGGCAAGTTTATGGTGATGATGCAATGAGCCGTTTAAAGTGTTTTAAGTGGCACACATGCTTCAAGAGCAGAAGAACATCACTGGAAGACAACAAGAGATCAGGAAGACCTTCAACAAACTCAATCCTCAGAAATGTCAAAACCATTCGGCAACTTGTGCATGACCGTCGGAGAACAATCCACAACATTACTGCTATTGTCCATGTGTCATAAGGAACACTCCAGGTGATCCTTACATGTAATTTGAACATGCAACATGTTGCTGCCAAGTTCGTCCCTAGGTTGCTGACCCAGGAGCAGAAGGAGCACCGCATCTAAGTTTGCCAAGAACTCCATCAGCATGATGTAGATGACCCATCCTTCATGTCAAGGATCATTACTGGTGCCGAAACGTGGGTGTACGGGTTTCACACAGAATTTCACATTTTCTCTTTGTTCTAACTTTCTGTCCATGATGAAATAGCAGATGTGGTAATGCACATAGTCAGAATAGCACCAGTTGTACAGCTCCCGATGTACACAGGACAATGACTTTTGGCACACTGACTTAGGAAGGCCGGTCCTCCCTGTAACTGTGCATGCAGCCTTGTGCTGCCATCTGTTGGCATGTTACAAAACTAGTTTCGAAACTCTTTTAACCTCCCTGGTGGTATTCCCGAGTGTAGCTCAGGGTAAAGTTTCAGCACCACAAGTGGTAACCCCGAGCTACACTCGGGAATACCTTGCAGCGCTGCTCCGGGATCTCTTCTTCACTTACCTTGTCCTGCGCTCCCGCGATGTCCCCCCTGCAGTGTCCTCGGCAATGTCCTCTGGCGGATGCTGGCATCTGTCATCTGGGTTCCATTCCCTGCTACGTCAGGACGTACAGGGACCGAACTGGCGGGAAATTTGAAAGTTGTAAAAGTGACATTCACTAAATTCACTAAAATCACATAGTAAAACATTACTGTATCAAAGCATTTCAAATACATTTTGTCCCTAGTGCTTTGTCCTGTGCCCTGCCTGCATTTTTAATGTTCTTTCTGCCTGGAAACTGAGAAATGTCCATGGCGTCTAAAAAGCGTCCCTTTAGGTCAAAAGCGGTTTTAGACCAGCTAGAGAACAGCGATAGTAAATTAGAACCACTTGCAGAATTGAGTGATGATTAGTGGGGAAATTCGTCATCAGACACTGAAAACGATTTTGCAACTTTGCTCAGTGATGTGCGCACTTGGCGCTATATTTCAAATTTCAGTGTTTTTGGTTTGATTATATTTTTTAATTAAATTTTTTATTATTATTATATTATTATTTTTTATGATTATCTATTAAATTATCATTTATGATTTTGTGTTTCAAATTTTATCCTACCCGGAATGTTTACTAGACTCTTGTTCGGACAGATTTCAGTGAGTTATTCCTAAAAATGATAGGCCTACAATAAAAAAAAAACATATTTCCATGCAAAAAAATGTACCGCTTTGAGCACAGAAATATGGACATAATCAGACCGCTAGGGAGGTTACACCACCTCATATTGCAGCTTATCAGTTCATGGTGTGATCTGGTGTCTGTGTTATTTTTTCTTTTTTCAAACTATTTATTACTTGATATGTTCCCAGTGATCCTGTCAGTAACAAATTTCTTGTCATAGGGTGATCACTTTCACAGTGCACAAAAGCTAGAGCTAAGCAGCATTGTTCCACTAGGACAGGAAGGGTGTTAGAACTACAGATCATCTCCCTCTCTTTATCTTCATAGCATGGGGGGGTTGTAGTCCACAGAGGTCTCTGGAAACAATGCTGAGAACAACGCAGGCAGAGGACACAAAGTTATCACTTCTCCAAATTTCTGGCAAAATCAACAGGTATTTTTTGGCACTTACTGAGCAGATATAACAAAACACTTTCAAATTTGAAACAAATAATAGTGGCTTGTTGTTTGGCTTTGCATCACTTTCATGGCTCTTTTGAGGAGCAAGGTGGCAGGAGGCCTTATTTTGGCAGTAGGTCAACTTTAACTTTTTAAATGTAAAATTGGACACGGAATATATTTACTAGCTCAGTTTACAATCATCTTATGCATTGACTGGAGCTCTTTACAAGGGCTGATGACTGTGTTATGAAATCTCAGTGTATGTGAGACAAGTACTGGAAATTTCCATGTTTTTACAGAATAAAACAAAAAAAATTAAAATCAGTACTTTAATTTATTGGATTAGTAAAATATTTAGATACAGCCATGCCCTCAGGACCTATGGCTGATTCCACTAGCCTGTACTCAGTGGAAAAATACAGGAATGCTTTATTTGTCTAAGACTTTTCTTGCCAAGATATTGTAGATGTTATGAGACTGTGCAGGCAGTGGGATCCTTGAAGCTGTATTGCCTGTTTACAGCCAGTTAGGGGCAGGACATGACCATATAAACAAACTGCTGGAATCTGTTCCTATCACCCTCCAGTTCAGTGTATTCTATAACATACGGTAGTAGCCAAGGTCGTCTTTATTTAAGATTCACTTCTGCAGAACAAATATTAATCTTCCAGCTAATTTCATCTGTAAATACCCTGAGCAGCTCCAGGCATTTCCACCTCAGTCCAAAACACCTTAGTCACTTTCCTGTGGGACAAGACCCTTGCTGCAGGCCTACACCGAAATGACTGGAGGTGTGTACCACAATCGTTTACGCAGAACCAGACAAAGACACAATGACCTTCATGTCCTGGCCAGCAGCCCAAGCTCTTATCAGGGTCCCACGGATATAAAGGAGTCTCAGAAATAGTGAGCATGTGTCATGGAATCATTTTAAAACCACGGAGATAAAACCTTGTCAAAGATGAGATACTGCTAAATAGAGATGGCGTGAAACCTTACTGAAGCCAGTGGGAAATTTACACCGTAGAGTGTAAAGGTTTCATCAACACATCTAGATACAATTAGCTATTATTAGGAATTTCGGCTCCCAAGGTTTCAAAGAAATTCAAAACGCATGCATAACAAGTGACTTTACTACTGCCAGAGCAGTGTAGGGCAACCACTGAGGACAGAGAAAGAGGACATTTTTTCGAAGTTGACAAACAGCGCAGGTTGGCCCACAGATCCAATTGTCTTCATGTTTACTAACTTTTACCCTTCTGGGGGCCTGAGATGAAATGGGCAGCAGTAGTAGTAATAGTAGTGAAATGCAGGCCATAGATTTTTCAGTTTTCTCTCCTTCCACCAAGGGCGGAAGAAAAGAAAATTGCTCGATTCCTCCATCAACACAGTCAGTGTTGACGAGGAATCCCTCCCACAGTGCCATTATGTTCTGGCAATGGGGAGCCTTCCCTACACAATGATCACTGCTGGTAGTTATAGACACTGGCAGTATTCACATAAAAAATCTAACAGGCTGAATGTACTGAAGTCGATCGATGGAGCGACTTGGGTACAACCAGACTGCCCATAGATGGATCGAAGTAATCTCATAAAAAATCCAACAGGCTGGTTGAACTGAATTCGATCAATGGATCCACTTGAGAACAACCAGACTGCCCATAGATGGATTGATAAAATCCAACAGGCTGGTTGAACTGAAGTTCTTCCATGACCACCAGCAAAATTCCAACAGGCTGGTTGAACTGAACCAGCACAAAGAACAAAGTTCCACTGACCACCAGCACAAGGGGGCAAAGTTCCACTGACCACCAGCACAAAGGGCAAAGTTCCACTGACCACCAGCACAAAGGGCAAAGTTCCACTGACCACCAGTGCAAGGGGGCAAAGCTCCACTGACCACCAGCACAAGGGGGCAAAGTTCCACTGACCACCAGCACAAGGGGGCAAAGTTCCACTGACCACCAGCAAAAGGGGGCAAAGTTCCACTGACCACCAGCACAAAGGGCAAAGTTCCACTGACCACCAGCACAAGGGGGCAAAGTTCCACTGACCACCAGCACAAAGGGCACAGTTCCACTGGCGCAAACCAGTGCAAGGGGCAAAGCTGCACTGACCACCAGTGCAAGGGGGCAAAGCTCCACTGACCACCAGCACAAGGGGGCAAAATTCCACTGACCACCAGCACAGGGGGGCAAAGTTCCACTGACCACCAGCAAAAGGGGCCAAAGTTCCACTGACCACCAGCACAAGGGGGCAAAGTTCCACTGACCACCAGCACAAGGGGGCAAAGTTCCACTGACCACCAGCACAAGGGGGCAAAGCTCCACTGACCACCAGCACAAGGGGGCAAAGTTCCACTGACCATCAGCACAAGGGGGCATAGTTCCACTGACCACCAGCACAAGGGGGCAAAGTTCCACTGACCACCAGCACAAAGGGCAAAGTTCCACTGACCTCCAGCACAAAGGGCAAAGTTCCACTGACCACCAACATAAGCTGGTGGTGTTAATGAAAACAAATGTATTAAAAGTCACAGCCAGTCCAATATATATATCCTTGGCAGATCACTGACCGGCATGTGAAAGCTCAGACAAGTCGCGGCTATTGAGTCTCGGCTTGTGGCATCATCGCCTAGTGCCGCTACTCCTTTCCAAGCATGGCCCCTTATGTGTGCTGTTATCTGATGCTTGGCTGCTGGGGCAACTTGGCTCATGTGCCGACAGAGAGGGCTCTGCGTGCCCGTAGGTTCGCCACCACTGTCCTAGGCTGTGTGCTTCTATTGATGTACACACAGTATAGGGAGACACAACTCTAGTGTCTATATGCAAAGGTGGCTTCATAGGATGCTGAAAGAGAAAGGAGCCACCCTGAAACAGGAAACTGGGGCATTGGTCAGGCGAAGATTACAAGACAAAGAAGCTACATACCCAATAAGTTATTAAAAGTACTTAAAATGAAGGATAGATGTCACTTTAACTTACAGTAAGAAGTCCCTTTTCCCATTAGCAGGTAGAATTGCTGTATTCATATTTAGAGATGAATTTGGGCTATCCCACAAAAATAGGATTGGTTCTACCGTGAAATGCAGCCAAACATGTACAAGCCTAATATACCAAGTAAAATAAGAAGTGTCAATGCATCTGTTAATTGTATACTGTATAATACTGACGTAATAAATAGATGGGGTCTGAGGAATTTACATGGTTCTATGGAGTTTTGGGTGTGTTTGTGTGCAGTATTGCTACAAATAAATATTTTTTGTTGCTGTGATCTGACTTCCTGGTAAAAGGTGGTTATGTTCGTTCTCCATTGTCCCACTATATGTAGGAATGTAGTCATCCTCACTTGCTTGCTCCCAAGATAGACTATGGGATCTGTATAGACTATGGAGCAGTACATATGACCAGGGGCGGACTGACCATTTGGAAACTCGGTCACTGCCCGAGGGCCCGGGGTCAGTAGGGGGCCCCATGAGATGCCCCTGGTACCTTTTTCATAGGCTTTTTTGAGTTTGGGCAAGGATACAGGGGCCCCATGATCCCCTATTGCCCGGGGGCCCCATGAGTTGTCAGTACGCCCCTGCATATGACTACAACTTACAAGGACTACTCATTGTAAACAAATGAAAGTGAGAGGAGGTTTGAGAGCCCACAGACATTACAAGGAATCAGAAAATCACAAAAGCAATTTCATAAAAATTGACTACAGGGCCGTTAAGTAGTGAGTTTGTATGGATATTTTCTGGACAATAAGGATATGATTTAGTGTCACTTTAAGAGGCTTTTGAAGCTGAAACCTGTTGCTGTGAAGAAGAGAAGTTTAGAGATTGCAGTTAAAGTGTTACTAAACCCAGGACCCTGCATCCACTATATCTGGTCTCCCACAGTACACAGAACATGGAAGTGCAATTATTTTAGTAAATATAAACTGCTAAATACCTTTTCTCATCAGCAGTTAGAGCCAGGGGCGGACTGACAACACATAGGTCCCCAGGGCAATAGGAAATCATGGGGCCCCTGTGTTCTCGCCCACAGTCAAACTACACCCAAAAAAGCCTATGAGAGGTATCAGGGGCATCTTATGGGGCCCCCTACTGACCCCAAGCCCTCGAGCAGTGCCAGAGTGGCTAAATGGTCAGTCCGACCCTGGTTAGAGCAGTCTTGTGACTTCTATCAGTGTCCAGCAGAGCACTGGTTAAAGCTTGTAGGAGCAGTATTTTTTCTGCTCTAGGGGGATGCAGAACCCCTGACCTCTGTCTGGAGAGTGCTGATTGGCCCTGTGCTGATCACATGCACTCTCCCAAGCAATTGAAAAAACTCTCTGGTTAAAAAAACTCACTGGTTAAAGCTTGCAGGAAGAGTTTTCTTTCTGCTCTAGGAGGATGTGAAACCTATGACCTCTGTCTGACAGTGCTGATCACATGCACCCTCCCAAGAAGAAAAAAAAAACCTCTCTACCAATACACAGCAAACTAAGCATGTGCATGTGACCAGGGTTCAGTCTGTATCAAGTGGTCATTTCAACAAGAGGAGGGGCAGAGAAGACAGGATCAAACAGCCTTGTTACACAATGCAGAGGATTAACCCCTTAGGTTCCACAGTGAGTATAACAAGCATGCTTTACTGAATATACAGACCGATTTCACTGTTGAGGGTTTAGTAACACTTTAAAACCCATTAAGGGACACAGGAGGATAGTAAATAGACATTTGGTTTATATTGCCACCATCAACAGATTTTGACACTGGCAAAAAAAAAAAAAAAACCCACAGCCCCTGTATAACACCAGCTCTTTTTCTAGGAGGATGTGAAACCCCTGACCTTCTGTCTGGACAATGCTGATTGGCCCTGTTCTGGTAACATGCACTCTCCCAAGAAAAAAAAAACCTCTGTAGCAATACACACCAAGCTGAGCATGTGCAGAGTGACTCCACACTATATGCCTTATCAGGAGATAAGAAGGGGACACTGGAAGAAGGGAGGATCAGAGAAGTCAGTATCAAACAGCCTTTTTACACAAAGCAGAGGATTAACCCCTTAGGTTCCACAGTGAGTATATCAAGCATGCTTTACTGCATATACAGACTGATTTTACTGTTGTGGGTTTAGTAACACTTTAAGACTAGAAAGTTTAAAGGATATGGAAACCAAAGAAATCGAAAAAATGAAACAAACATTTAACACATTGAAGCTTACCAGTTTTTATATGCGGTGGCTGTGTTAAGCTGGGTGTACACAAACCGAACATTGACCGGTTCAGCAAGAACTGGGTTGACTTTCGGTGTTTATGTACCACTGTCTAACAACCAGCTTCTATGGAACAGTCCTGGAAAACCAGCATTGTCAGAGTACAAAAGTGCGGCAGGGGAGATCCCTGCATCACACATTGTTTGTGTTAATGCAGGGTCTGTCAGGATTTATTTTTCTTGTTTGACCCACTGGTTGAATGAAACAAAAAAGAAATAAAAACTGGAGGTGTATACCCAGCTTAAGTTTTCTTTTTTTTTTCCTTTTTTCCAAGCTAATTCTAGCTATACATGGCTAGATTATTCCCGCAATCCACACCAGCAGGTTGGATGAAGAAATCTCACTGCCACCTATTATATTCAGGTAGCTGCAGTAACTGCCTAAATACCCAAATAGTGGCTACATCTGAGAAAAAATGTGATCACTGTTCAGTCAACAATTTTCCACCCAGCTCAGTCAGTATTTAAAATTACTTTTGTTGAGCCTAATAGTGTCAGTAGGAATCGGCCGAACTTCAAGCTGGTTGGCCACATGGAAGAAAAATATATTTGAAATATATTCTAAAAATATTCTTCCCAAATATATTGACACAATTTTGGCTGTTTTAAATATATTTTCAAAATGCATATATATTGCATGTTGAAATGCATTTTTATATATTACAAGATATATGAACAATATTTTTTTCAAATATAATTTTTTTTAAATATATCCTTCAACATATAAAAAGTCATTTTAACATATATTTTTACAATATTTGTAAATGCATTCCAAAAATGTAGACTAAATGAAATATATTTGAAAATGTAATTTTTAAAATATGTTTCATATATTTTGAAATAAAAATCGACACAATTCTAACATTTTTGGCTCTATACACCACCACAATGGATTTGAAATGAAACAAAGATGTGCTTTAACTGCAACTGTCAGCTTTTTTCCAAATCAGGTAACGGTGTAGAAATTACAACAGTTTGCATATTGCCTCCCACTTAAAGTGGCTTCTCAGCCGTTCCAAAATTACTTTCCCAATTTTGAGCAATACAAGGTCCATTCATTTCAAGTGTGCTAAATTTGGAATCTGTTGCTGTCAACTCTCAAGATGAGATCCAAAGAGCTGTCACTATCAGTGAAGCAAGCCATCATTAGGCTGAAAAAAATCAGAGAGATAAAAATGTTTTGAACATTCTTAAAAAGAAGGAACGCATCGGTGAGCTATTGTTTCTTTCCCTGGTGAAGAAAACACCCCTTCACAACAGTTTGGCCAGATCAAGAACACTATATTAGGTGACCATCAAGAGAAGAGTGAATATTCACTACAATTTGTAAACCATTGGTGAGCCTCAAAAACAGGAAGGCCAGATTAAGTTTTCTAAAAAAAGCCATTGCATTTCTGGAACAACATCCTATGGACAGATGAGACCAAGATCAACTATGATTATGAAATGAACTGCTCATGATCCTAAGCATCCTCATCAGTGAAGCATGGGTGGTGGTAGTGTCATGGCGTGGGCATTGTATGGCTGCCAATGGAACTGGTTTTTATTATTGATGATGTGACAAGGATGAATGAATATTATCATATTTGCTTCAGAAACTCAAACAGTATATACTTTTCTTAAGGGAAAGAAGTGGAATATTTTATGCAATGGCCATAGTATCATGACCTGAGATTTTGAGCATTTTCACTTGCTGAAGACAAAAACTAAAGGGAAAATGCCCCAAGAACAAGCAGGAAACTGAAGACATTTTAAGGCAGAGCATCATTTTGTCATGCATTCATTTTGTAAATGCAAATATATCATCAATGAACAATTTTCAAACAGATTTTTTTAACAATGTTAAGTGCATTCCCAAAAATGTAGACTAAATGCATTTTTAAAGGCAGTATATTTGAAAATGTAATTTTTAAAATATGTTTCATATATTTTGAAATAAAAATGCATTTCAACATACAGTATATATATCAGGGGCGGACATTCAGAAGGAATGTGTTAGAAATTGGGCCTGACTATGGGGCTCATGAAGAATGTGCATGGAGCTTACAATCTAAAGGAAGGGGGAGGTGATACAAAAGGTGAAAACTGCGGGGGATGATTCAAGTACAGTTCTTAGCAGGGGCGGACTGACAACTCATGGGGCCCCTGGGCAATAGGGGATCATGGGGCCCCTGTGTCCTTGCCCAAACTCAAAAAAGCCTATGAAAAAGGTACCAGGGGCATCTCATGGGCCCCCTACTGACCCCGGGCCCTCGGGCAGTGCCCGAGTTTCCAAATGGTCAGTCCGCCCCTGATATATATATATATATATATATATATATATATATATATATATATATTTATATGTATTTAAATATATTGAATACAACCAAAATTGTAGTATTTCAAATATATCTCAATATATTTGGGAAGAATATTTTTAAAATATATTTCAAATATATTTTTCTTCATGTGGGTGTGGCCAGCTAATCTCCATAACCTAGGAGGTTGTTCCATAATTCACATTAAAAAAAAAAAATGGGAAGCTGATAACATTGTTTGAGAATTCAATTTAGTGCACAGGGAGTGCAGAGGGATGCTAGATTTTTGTCAGGATCAACAGATATTTTTCTATACTTACAGATGATGGGGTCAATTCACTAACAATTATTGCATGTGATATGTATGTTTTTCTGGAAATATTGCATGCAATTATAAAGGAGTCCATTCATCAAATATATAGAATATCAAATTTGCCGTAAATACCAAAAATCGATAAAACAAATGCAAGACAACTAGCACAAAAACTAGATAAATCAATAACGTCAGTTCACAAAAAAAAAACACATTCATTTTGTAATTCATGGTACAAGCTGTAAATATTTTAGGAATGTACAAAATAACAATGAGTGGAACTCTGCACTGGTCAGCAAATTAAAAGAAAACAATGTATCAGTGTGGAAATTATCTGCCCTGAGCTCAGGAATGTAAATACATTGTAACATTTCACCGGAAGGAGATTGTTCTGTGAATGAATGCATACTAACAACGTTTTCATAGTTTCAAAATATTTCTGTATGCCTTCATTCACAGAACAATCCCCCTCTGGTGAGGTGTTAGCCTGTGGGAAAAAAACTGCAAAAACTTGCAAAGAAAAAATTAGATTTAAGTGCTAAATATCAAAAAACATAAATGCATTTGTTAAATAAGGAATATTTTTCAGTGAATTGACTACTTTTGATATGAATGCATGACCCTGGCCAGTGAAATACGGGCATGGTGGAAACCTATTTACTTCTCATCTATAAGATATCAGCAACTTAAAAAGAGCTCCTTTTAGCCCTGGTTCACACTGATGTGACTTGTCATGCAATTTGACTGTTCAAATCGCATGACAAATCGTATCCAATGATCGGCAATGGAACTGTTCTAATCGGTGCACTACTTTGGGTGATTTGAGATGTGGCTTGCGTAGACACCTGGGCATCAAGTCGCACAATGTCAACGTTGGATACAGTGTGAACCGAGGCTTAGTTTGCTGGGATAAAATTGTAAAATATATATATATATATATATATATATATATTATTATTATACAGTATTTATATAGCGCCAACAGTTCGCTCAGCGCTGTACATTACAATGGGAGACAATACATGAGACAGTACAATAACAATACAATGCGATACACGAGGGGTCGAGGGCCCTGCTCCTTGGAGCTTACAATCTAGGAGGGAGGTATATATACACACACAGTATGTTATGCTATAAACATTTTCTTGTGTGTTGTAATTCTCAGTCAGGGCTTAGTTTGTTGGGATAAAATTGTAATATATATATATATGTATGTATATATACATACACACACACTGTATGTGTGCACACTGTATATATATATACACATACACACTTGCAGTATGTTATGCTATACATATTTTCTGGTGTGTTGTGATTCTCAGTATTTCATGTAGGAGCTTTTATTTTCTGGTAGGCCTTTTCTCTAGCTGTCTCTTGAGTGAATTGTTAACAGTAATCTGTAGTAGAAGAGCTCCCTCTACTGGACAGTGGCAGAATTGGAACAAAAAGTAAATACAGAACTGTCAAAAAAAAAACCCAAAAAATACATTGCACATACTGCATTCTTATATTATGCAAATATCATGGATGTTGTGCTACTGAGGAAAGGATGGTATACATCCATAGGAAGTGATGACAGACAATAGTGACAGGGATATTGGGAAACAATTTTAAAAACTCTCTAATTGTTTGCATTTGCAAATCATTTCTTCTTTTATTTTTATTTCTTTGTTTATTTCTGTTATTTTTAATTCAAGATAGGGGCAGATTTAGTTTCTGTATGCAATTTGAATAATAAGTTAGACACTGCTGAAAATGTATATATCTGCTTGTGTTTAAAGAGTGGTCCTTAGCACTTTTAAGTTCTGTGATTTAAGTGATTTTATAGGTAGAAGGTTTTTTTTACCTTCATCATTCTCTGCATTGAGGTGAAAAAAAAAAATATGCATTAAGGTGTCCGTTTATGAACCAGCAGTAATAGATCGCTGCTCAGTTCTCCGGCATTCTTGGAGAACACAGTTCTCCTGTGAATGCCGTTTATGAAGCATATGTAGATCAGTTCTCCAAACGAAGGAAGAACGGTCTACAAACGCTGGAACACAGCCGATTTTACTATAATCTCGCGAGATTACAGTAAAAGATCAGTTTACTAAGCAGAGGTAAATTATCTCTGCTTAGTTTGCGTTCCCTCCGATTCTCCAGCTCTGGGCTGGAGAATCTGGAGGGAGAACACAGATCTCCAGAGAAGAGCTGAACATATTCTCCTGGGTGTCATAAACTGTGAATGACCAGAGAATAGTTGTGATCCTCCGAATCTCAGCTATTGTGTGTGTCATAAACGGACACCTATGTCCCCCAACCCCCACCCCCTTATACTTACCTGAGCCTAATCTCAATCCAGCAATATTAACGAGAGCAGAGGCTCTCTCTCTCTCCTCATTGGCTCAGAGACAGCAGTTTACTCCCGCTGCTGAAGGCACAGCCAGTGAGGAGTGAGTTGTCGGAGGGCCCTGAGCAGGGCTCAGGAGAGAGCACACATGAGTGGCCCCACTGCACGTGGCTTGCTATGGGGGCACTCAGCAGGGGAAGCCAGGACCTGTGAAGAGGATGATTGGGGTTGTTCTGTGCAAATCCATTACACAGAGCAGGTAAGTATGACATGTTTGTTATTCTAATTTAAAAAAAATAAAACAAACATTTACAATTACCTTAATTTAATTGATAAATAGTTTTTACAGCTGCAGACTGAGGAAAAAGTTGTACAGTTGCTACTTTGCTGCACGATTATGCAAAGCTACATCTTTCGCATTAGTTGTAAAACAGACGCAAAGAATAAATGCTAGCATTTTTACATGTAACTTGCACATTGATACAAAACTACTTTTCTTTTTAAGAGGTATTTATTTACTTTTTTTGCACAAGTATACAAAAGAACCATTAAAGGATTATCACAAATATACACCTCTATAAATATCTCCCATTCTGCTTTGGAGCAGTTGATGGAACATGTTTGCTAAAAGCTGAAAGAAAGCAGTGGCAGGGATATTGTGTTCCTAAGTATTTGATGGTACATAGGGTACATAAGTACAAAAATGGCAACTGACAGCAGTGACAGGGACACAGTGGGGTAGATCTACTAAAGGCAAATAGATTGTGCACTTTGCAAGTGAAGTTGCATTTGTTTTTCCTAGAGCTTAGCAAATGTGGTAAAGTTTCACTTTGTAAAGAATACATAGTCAGGTGCAAGGAAAATAAAAAAAACACAGCTTTTTTTCTTTTACACGATAGCATGATGTAAAACAGCTTCACCACATTCACAAAGCTCTGGGGAAAATAAGTGCAAATGTACTTGCAAAGTGCACAGTTGATTTGCCTTTAGTAAATTCCCCCCGTTTTTCTCAGCAGTTGATAGTACATGTGTATGGGAAGTGATGACAGACAGCAGTGACAGGCACCTTGTTTTATTGAGCAGTGCCCAAGGACAGAAATATTGTGCTGCTGAGCAGCAGATGGTACATACAGTATGTACTATATAAAAAGTCATCAGAGAAAGCAGTGAGAGGAACATTGAGCTGCTGAGTAGTTGTGATTACACTTGTATCTGAACATAAAGCCTGGCTGACCAGGAAAAGCATGGTGCTATTTAATCACCACAGGGTTTTTGTATTTTATGCTAAATAAACAAAAAAAAAAAACAGAAAATTTTGAAAAAAATGCATTTTTCTTTGTTTCTGTTATAACGTTTTTCAAATAAATATTCTTTCTTCATAAATGTAGGCCAAAATTTATTCTGCTACATTTCTTTGGTGAAAATAACCCAAATCAGTGTTTATTATTTAGTCTGTAGGAAAGTTATAGAGTCCAAAACCTATGGTATATACAGTATATCTGAAAATCGATCAATCCTGATGTCTTGAGGCCTAAAAATGTCAGGACAGTACAAATATCCTACCAAATGACCTCTTTTCGGAAAGTCCAAGGTATTTAGTAAGAGGCATAGCCCATAGCAAGTTTTGTGTCATAATTTTTTTGAAAATTAAGAATTTAAAAATTTCACAATTATTATTATTTTTTTTAACATACTATCACCAGTGCAGTACAGCATTGTCATATAACTGATGTGGCGATCATTAGGGACACTAACTGGTGACAGTATGTAAAAAAAAAGTTAATAATTTAAAAAAAAAAAAATCTTTTTTATTACTTTTTTCTTTTTACGCTTTTTTTTAACACACTGTGACCAGAGCAATACAGTGTTACCATAGTAACATTTTGAATAAATTACAAGGATTTTTTTTTCCTTTTACACATTATGATTGTTTATGCCAATGAATTTCACCATTTTTACTGAATGAAATTGATTCATTCAGGGTCTATTGTTGCAATTAGCTGTGATTGGCCACAACTAATCACATGGTACAGATGGGCTGTGATTGGCCCTGTCTGTACTATGTGATCTCCGTGACCAATCACAGCTAGCAACACAAATGTACACAATGAATGACATGAATCAAAGCTATTCATTCTTTATCATTGTCATGTGATCTGCTGTGATTGGTCACAGTGATCACATGGTACCAGCAACAGCCCGGTGCAGTGATCTGTCATCGGACACAGCTAGTGACAGATCGTGCTGCGGTGTGGTCCGTGGGGTGTGCACAAGGCGCGTTTACGGGACGATATCATATGATGTCCACCCGGAAAGATGAAAGTCCCACCCGGCTGTCATTTGACAATAGGCTGAGAAGGAAGAGGTTAACATAAAAATGTATATTGTAAAAAACACAGACACATGTATTTTATTTAAAAAAAAAAGTCCCACATTGTAAATTCATTGTCAGTCACAACATCCTGAGATGAAGACCCATCCTTAATCATGATAAATGATTCCTGATGACACAAACACACCAGTCTGTGCGCAATAATCCTGCTCCTGACTGACTCCCATCATGAATGACAGCTCACCAACTGGCAGCTGAATATCATCAAGCTGGCTGATGATGCTTGATGACTTCATTACCCAAAAATTACGTCAGTTGTGATACCCACTGGCTTGTTTACTATTGGAACAAGCCAGCAGGCAAGCAGGCAGCTCAGTGGATTTTCTACAGTAGTCTTCCTGTTTGCAATTTCCTTCTTTTGGAGGAGACAGGGGTGGGCTTAAGTTTTGCTCTAACAACTTGTCTACTGGGCAATCTTTACATTTTTTACACACGTTAAAATATGCATTTTTTTTTGCTAGAAATTACCGTAGCCCCCCCCCCCCCCCCCAGCCACCCAAAAAGTATATATTTTCTGAAAGCAGAGGCCCTGGAGAATAAAATAGTAGTAGTTGCAGTGTGTTATGTTGCATGATATTTGCGCAGTAATTTATCAAATGCATATTTTCTGAAACACACTAAAATTTATTTTAGTGCAAAGAAATACAATATTATACCCAGTTTTTGGTAAAGTATAAAAGATGGGTTTGCATTAAGTAAATAGATACCAAACCTGTCAAATCCTCCGCACCCCCATGGAATCGCAAAAATCTATGGTACTCAAAATTATCCATGGAGCACGCTCAAAAAGCCTTTACAGGTCATCAACTATAGCCCTAGAATTATTACATGGGTGAAGCAAATTATGTTTACAAACATGTGCGTGCCCTAAGCTGTGCTTTTTATATGGGTTGTGTGTGAGAGTGACGGGGGTGCTTACATTTTGTTTTTCTCTTTTATACAATTCCTATAATACACATCACTTCCAGGGTCATTAGTCGCAGGAGGGATCAAGGAACGGTTGTATCCCGAGTTCCTTAAATTTTACATTTAAAAGCAGTTTCCTACGGTGCCCCTTTAAGAACCCTGTAAAAGTTATCCTCAGGGGATGTGCTATTGGGAGGAGCTGGGGTTGAGACCACTTTTCACGTCCTATACCTTGGATCGGTCGATATTGATCCACTATAGTTTCATAGAGCTTTCTGGATGAGCATACTCACACTAGCATCCTCTCTCACAGGGGAACATTTAAAGTGGAGTTCCACTCACAATGTAAAAAAATAAAAAAAAAATAAAAGTCAGCAGCTATAGTTTTAAAGATTGGTCCCCCGCTCCCCATTAAGGATTGGTACCTTTGGGGAGCGGGGGAGAGCAACGGATACCTGAAATTGACAGGTACCCGCTCCTACTTCCACTGCGATCGCCTAGACCGAGCGGAAGCAGAAGTTGTCCTCCTACCCTCCCTCCCCGTAGTCTTTTGCGACACGTGACAGGTCCCAGAAGACTACGGGGCCATTCATGAAGTGCAGTGCTACTCGCGCATGTGCAGTGGGCACCCAGCTGTGAAGCCGCAAGCTGTCACAGCCGGGTGCCCACATTGAAGAAGCCGCAAGCTGTCACAGCCGGGTGCCCACACTGAAGAAGCCGCAAGCTGTCACAGCCGGGTGCCCACACTGAAGAAGCCGCAAGCTGTCACAGCCGGGTGCCCACACTGAAGAAGCCGCAAGCTGTCACAGCCGGGTGCCCACACTGAAGAAGCCGCAAGCTGTCACAGCCGGGTGCCCACACTGAAGAAGCCGCAAGCTGTCACAGCCGGGTGCCCACACTGAAGAAGCCGGCGCCTGGAACACAGGACTACCAGTGAAACGGGCTGCGGCGGGGGCAACGCAGGATGGTGGAACAGAAGAGTGGCTGTTTTTTTAAAAGTCAAGAGCTACTTTTTTTGTAGCTGCTGGCTTTTATTTTTTTTACAGAGTGAGTGGAACTCCGCTTTAAAACCAGCAACTGTTGAGACAATGAACACCTTGGTGATAACTATGTAATGTACAACATGATGTATAGAGATGCAGAGGTCAGGAGTAAATAACTACAAAACAACATATAGAATGCAGCAGTCAGGATAAACCCTCTGTTCACATCAGAGTCCCCCACTTACATTAGAGTCTCCAGAAACACCCTAAACATCAGGGTTCAGAGAATCCCTTGTCACGCACTGTAGCTTCCTGTAGTAGTGAATTCTTCCGACTCTGTGCAGTCTGCAGGGCATTGAGGGCAAGCTGGTCATAATGTCACTGAGCACCCTCCTGAACCAGCCCCACCACCCAAGCTCAAATCCATCTCCTAGTCGCCTGGATCTAGAATTGCGCTTGTGCACTACAGAGGCAGTGAGAAGCCAACAATTTTTTGGGCACTTTCTGCTGTCCACTGGCAATTACAAACAGGAGAAAAGCACCCTTTTTTAAACAAATTGTCTGTAATTTTACATACAGTTGGCAACACTACTGTGAGCTTTATTTAACCATTTATCTCTCTAGCAACACCAGGATGATATGCAGCAGAAGTCACCAGCGTCCTGCCAACAGAGGCTATATATGCTGTAATACTGTACATATGTAAGTATTACAGGCAACCAGCATGCATCTTGCTGCCAGTAGGCTCCTGCATACTAGTTGCTGTATTTACATATGGCTGTACGCATGAAGTTTAATAAAAAATAATGCAGGTCACTCTGGACTTTTTCCATAAATTTTCAGGTAAATATTCATTGAGTCTGTGACATGGTACAACTTACTTGGACAGTGCAGGCTTCAACTGCTGTCAATCAGCTAGCTAGGAGTAGGGAGGAACAGAGGACTTCTGGGCTATCTTTATGCATGCGGCACAAGGGACACTTGGCTGCAGTCCCAGCTGGGAACATGCATGCAAAGGTGGCTCCATAAGGACCCTGGAAGGGCAGGTAGCTGAAAATGAGAATATTTTGACACAGGGAGGTTGATTTACTAAAGGGAAATACTGTATACCAGGGGTATTGAATTAAAATTCACGGAGGTCCAGTCACAGACATTTTCTTCCAGCTGAGGTCCAAATTGCATGTTTGATTCTTAATGGCACCTTGGAACATTGGATAACGCCGCACGTGCAGCGCAGCTTAAAAAGGGTCAGAGACTTCTTTCTTTTTTGCTTTTTTTGCATGCAAGACAGTCCTTTGAATTGAATAGGCTGCCTACATGCAGAACATAGGTAACAATGAGTAATCCTAGCCTCAGATCCTAAAAGTCACAATCCCGTTATTACAAAAGTGTTCTCAGACCCCCCCCCCACATCACAACCCCCCCCATACATCACAGTTCTGTCCCCTTTACATCAAGATCACCCCTTCACATCACTCCCCCCATTAATATCACCTCACCCTCACATACCTGTCCTGCCTCCCTTATATCAGCCCCCTCTTCCTTCACATTACTGTTCTCAGCCCCACTTCATATCACCCCCTTCACATCCCTGTCATCACCCCCCCCCTCCTTTGTGTTACCCCCACCTCCTCTTTCAGATTTCTGTCCTCTTCCCACAGACGGGTTCGTGCAGATAAAGGCACAGTAAGGAAGATTTCTGCCAGATCCATGCATCGGAAAAGAGAGCAGCTGCTAAAATACCATTACATAGCAGCAAACAGATATTTGAAGCTGCTGGCGCCTCTGGAGTCCCACGGACATCAAGGTGTAGAGTCCTCCAGAGTCTTGCAACTGTGCATAAACCTTCTATTCGGCCACCACTAACCAATGCTCACTCACAAGCAGAAACGGCTGCATTGGGCAGAAAAATACACGAAGACTAATTTTCAAACAGTCCTGTTCACTGATGAGTGCTGTGCAACCCTGGATGGTCCAGATGGATGGAGTAGTGGATGGTTGGTGGACGGCCACCCTGCTCCAACAAGGCTGTGACATCAGCAAGGCGGTGGTGGAGTCATGTTTTGGGCCGGAATCATCGGAACAGAGCTGGTCGGCCCCTTTAGGGTCCCCGAAGGTGTAAAGATTACCTCTGCAAAGTATGTGGAGTTTATGACTGACCACTTTCTTCCCTGGTACAGAAGGAAGAACTATGCTTTCCATAATTAAATCTTCATGCATGACAATGCACCATCTCATGCTGCAAAGAATACCTCTGCATCAATGGCTGCTATGGGGATAAAAGGAGAGAAAGTCATGATGTGGCCTCCATCCTCCCCTGACCTCAATCCTATTGCGAACCTTTGGAGCATCCTCAAGCAAAAGATCTATGAGGGTGGGGTGGCAGTTTACATCCAAACAGCAGCTCTGGGAGGCTATTCTGACATCTTGCAAACAATATCAAGCAGAAACTGTCCAAAAACTCACAAGTTCAATGGATGCAAGACTTGTGAAGCTGCTAACAAATAAGGGGTCCTATGTTGCAATGTAACGTGACCTGTTAAAATGTTTAAAAAGTTAAAATGTTGTTAAAAGTTTGATTGAAATAGCTTTTGATTTCAGAAAATATGCTGCAAACACAACAAATGACAATTTTCAGTTCTTTACAACCTATAAAGTGTTTTGAAACTTACACTGCGTAATAATTTGGAACAGTGCATTGGAAGTTTTTTATGTTTAAAAAAAAAATACTGTTATCATTAGGAGGTTTGTTCAATAAAATTTGAATTGTACTCTTAATAGTTGATAACATGAGATTTATGCTGACTGTTATTTACATCAATTATTTTAGGTAAATGAGAAAAATATAATTTGCATAATAATTTGGAACACAGTGTAGAGCGGACATCAGGAGGCACATCAGTTCTAGAGCAGACATCGGAGGCAGGACAGCTCTGGATAGACATCACGAGGCACATCAGTCTAGAGCAGACATTGCAGGCAGGACAGCTCTGGATTGACATCAAGAGGTACATCAGTCTAGAGCGGACATTGGAGGAAGGACAGCTCTGGATTGATGTAGGAGGCACATCAGTATACAGCTGACATTGGAGGCAGGACAGCTGTGGATTGACATCAGGAGGCACATCAGTCTAGAGCAGACATTGGAGGCAGGACAGCTCTGGATTGACATCAGGAGGCACATCAGTCTAGAGTGGACATTGGAGGCAGGACAGCTCCGGATTGACGTCAGGAGGCACATCAGTCTAGAGCGGACATTGGAGGCAGGACAGCTCCGGATTGACGTCAGGAGGCACATCAGTCTAGAGCGGACATTGGAGGCAGGACAGCTCCAGATTGATGTCAGGAGGCACATCAGTATACAGCTTCAGATGGACAGGGGGAGCTGTACAACTTTTTCTGGTAACCAGCAGGTGATTGGTTGCTTGCAACTAATCGTTTGATGTTTAACTTGAAATGTTAATGGAGCCTCCAATGTCCGTTCTAGACTGATGTGCTTCTCGCCGTCCATCCAGAGCTGTCCTGCCTCTGATGTCAGCTGGATGAGGATGACAGAATTGACATCAGCTGAGCAGAAGAGCCGGCTCTTAAATGGCAGGGCTGCGGCTGGTCCAGATGGGACAGTAAACTGGTCCAGATTCAGACCGCGGTCTGCCATTTAGTGATGTCTGCAGTATATACTGTGCACTGCAAGTGCAGTTGCGCTAGATCTGAGGGGAAGCTCTGAAATTGGGGGGAAGCACTGCTAATTTCTATTATCCAATCATGCAAGCAAAAATGCTGTTTTTTTTTTTTCATTTTCCTTGCATGCTCCACTTAGATCTAGTGCAACTGCATTTGCAGTGCACAGCCTATTTGCCTTTAATAAATCAGCCCCATAGAATACAAAGCAAACACGAGCTTGGAAAGAAAAGCACATAGAAAACATGGTAAGTGTTGAGATCTGCAGCACTAAATGCTTTTTACAGTTCAGATATGCATTGTAAAATAAATGTATGGCATCATTAGCTCCTCTGCTGTGTCTAGTCTTTTCACTCTTGCAGAGATATAAGGGGCCACTAGAATCAGGAATCATGGCGGAGAGGAGGCAGAAGACTGTGGACCAGATGAAGCTGTGGAAGGAGAGTTGGGGCAACCAGTGACATTCATAAGACTGGGAAGGGTACTTGGAGAGGCTGCAGCGCCGTCTAGTGACATATTCTGCCGGTGCTTCATCCCAAGGTGCTGCTGTTAAACGCTGAGGTCTATTACATTCATGCTAGATTGACGTCTTAAAATGTAGGGGTGTCATGGTTTTGGTAAGGAGGTTGGACCTCAGCACCAGTTTGGGACTGTCATGAACTTTGATTTTTAATTTAATTTAATTATTTATTTGGTTTTGCACACTTGCACTGTATTCACTTCCACATAAGATGTATATATTTGATTATTTCAAATAATTCAGTTCATGAATTGTGGAATTTTGTGGATGAATTTGATTATTTATTGTATTGGATATGAGTTTTTGCACTGATAAATTATTTGGTACTTTATGTATATACAGTAGATACATTTTCATTTTAGTCACATGATCCATTTAATTATATTTTACCTGTATTTATCTGGTATGATATTGAGCTTTATTGCACATGTATTTAAAGCAATTGTAAAGG